GGGCTTCTACTATTTAATAATCTCCTTTTCCTTTCAAAGAACTTAAGGCTTTTTATAGAGTTTATTAAACACTAGATTTACCTGAATATGCCGCTCCGACTATCATAAGACCATGTCTGACGTTTATTGTGTCGTATAATTGGATACATTTATTAATGAAGTTTTATTTAGGTTGTAATGGTACTGTATTTTATAAACACGAAGTCTTTAAAGCATCCAAAAGAGAACCATAGTCAATTACTGGGACGGTTACGCCAGGAAAAAGATCACTTGTTATAGATTGGAAAAGAGGAATGTCATTTATGGTAAATTTAGGTAAATTTACGTCCATTAGGGCTCTTAAACATATAATGTCTTCACTGTCAGTCATTACTCTTTTGAGGTTTCCGGCGGCTGTAAGTATTGCTTTTAGGGCTCTCATACCAAAATCGTAATGGTCTTATGAGGATAATTATTCGGAACTAAGTCTTAGAGAAGCTACTATTTTTCGGGCTAAATTACGAGCGGCTGAAAAGCCTACTGAATATAAATATATTTCAGCAATTAATGCATAATCAGGAACCATCATAGCACATGGTCTGAATAAAGACTTTAAATTATCAGGTAATTCTGATCTTCCGGCATAACCAGGGTTCATAGTAATATTAATTGCACAAGTGTCGACTAATTTTATTTCTTCACCATCAAATTCAAAGGTTTCACGAGGACGAGCTTTATTTAGTTTTATAGCCATTTATATACTCAATACTTAAGATGCAACCACAGACAAGACTTCCAAATCGATTCTATTAAATTCATCAAAACAACACCATGCTCCAGATGATGCTAGACCTTTAAAGAATTTTCTCATAGCAATGAAATTTAGACCATCTGAACAGTTAAATACAACACATTAAACAGCTAGTGCTTTTGCTAAATCTTTCACTGTTTCTGTTTTTCCAGTACCTGCGGGTCCTTCAGGGGCTCCTCCGTATTATAGTTAAAATGCACCCATTAAAGTTCTATAACATCTATCTGTTAATGGTGTTATAACCAATCTTGTTGAATTTCCTAAATATTCAAAACTATTTTATTTCATTTATTTTTTAAATAAAATATATTAAAAAAAAGTAAATTTACTCATAACTTAAATCGGCGGATATCATTCTTACTTTTAAATCAGGTTTGTGATTATGTTTTTCTTCCCAATAATATCTTAATTAAGAAATCCAATTGAAATCCTAAACTGATTAACATCCCGTCTTTTCTAAATCGACCATAACATCTTTAGCATGAACATCTAATACAACTAAAGCCCCTAAAGTTAATCTAGCAAGAGGCGTTAAATCCTTCCTTACTAATTCTACTATATCGAGTAATTACTATTCTAAATAATGTACATAAGCACTTATATTTTAAAAAGTATAAATTCCATCTTCAATATCAGTTTCATGATCTTTTTTTCCATTCAAAATTGAATTTTCGGCTCCTCTAGTCCATCTACACATATCAACAGCTAAAACGACTTACCCAGGCCATTTTTAAACCCAATCTGATCTATGTGAATTTTCATCTACGAGGGATGCTTTTGTGATATTTTTGAGAGTATTTCTCATCATCAATTCTATATCACCAAGCCATTTTTCTACATTTCCTTTTTTATCACCTTCATTAACATTTATAGGCTAATTAAATTTAACAACTTCAGCTTCCGCAGAGATCATTCCACATACATCTTCTGCTGTTGAAAAGTCCAATTTATAGATAGCTTCGAAGCATTTATTTATATGTTTTTAAACTTTCTAAGGATCTTTAGTGTCTGCTAAAATTTCTAATAATTCTTCATCTGACAAGAAGAAAAATCTGGGAAAATCTCTCCTTTTAGACTCAAGATAATCACTCAATTTTTTCTATATTTCATCCAAAGTCTTATTATGTGTCGCGAAATCGTTTTTTAATTTATCGCTTTCAATACCTTCCCATAAACCTGGTTCTTTAGAGAAAAAATCCATTGTAACTCTCCAAAAATCATCAATATGGTCGAATTTTTTCTTTTATAATTCCATTTTCTTCTTAATATCTTCAGATGCAAATATAGGTTCTAAATACATCCATGATCTTTAACATTTGATCCAACCTTCCAAAGTGTCTTAAATGAAAACTAATTTCTACTCCAACAAATCTGCTTGTTTTTTTAGATTTTTCATATAAGGAGAAGATTTTTACATTCCTAAATTATTCAATTGTTCGTCTAAAATTTATTGAATTTCGTCTACTCCTTTCAATGCGTAAGTATGTACTTTACTTTTAGTATATGGTATTATGTCTAGTTTTATACTTTTTACTGTATCTTCCATTTCTTTAAGCTTTTTTTCTATACTGTATTATTTTTCAGCTTTTTTAGATACTTCTTCAATTACTTCTTTAAAATCTGGAGTTTGACATAAAAGTTCGGTCAGGTTTAAGTAAGTTATTTCTTCACTCATTTATTTGTCTTTAGAAACTTAGCATCTTTCATATATTTCAGCCCAATGCTACTATACACTGGTTTTTTTTAAATTCTTTAAAGCCTCAGTAGTCAAGCATTCGAACATCCACATTTTTTATCTAAATTTATTTATATCACCTAATAGTTTTTCAGATAATTAGGCTGCTTTTTCATCTCCTGCTGGGTCGTTTGTATCAGAAAATTTCTTGAATAAATTTTTTGTTTCAATAAAATATCTCTAATTAACAGCTTTATCAATTTCATTAAAATTTTATTATAAAAGAGGTCCCCTTTAAATAAAAAATTATTATTATTTAAAAAAATATAGATGTATTACATTGTCCATTCTTCCATATTAGTAATAAATTAAAATAAAATTTCCCATAATTTTTTGTAAGGTTCGAATTCTTTGACTGAATTTTCTAAATCATCCCATATGGAAATTTCATCACCAAATAAATTTTCCCTACTATTAAATGATTTAACCTTTTCAACAGCTTATTACATACTATCATCAAAAAGGGCAATTTATGTATATTTATCTTTCACTTCATTGTGTGAATATGTATTATTTTATTTAATTTCTGCAAATCCTTTTTAGATTTACATAATAGTATTTTAGAAGTTGTTTTTTTCTTATTCTAATGCATTTCTGAATTTAGCTTCGGAAATTTCATATGTTCTATTGCCATCACCTGCAGCTTCCTTAACTAAAGCTGGTTAAGCACTAAAATAAAAAAATTAAGAAACAGCAATTTCACCTTTTTCGTCTTTGGATAAATAGCAATATTTTTCTAATATTTAAAAAAAACTTCCAAGAATATTAATTTCATTTTTTTATTTGGCTAAATTTACTTCGTTTTCTTTTATAAATCTTTTTAAGACAACTAATTCTTGCTCATTTAAGGGATTCTTTGTTAAATCAATTCTCATTTAATCATATACACTCTGAATTCTCTATAAAAAATATATATTAAAAAATATATAAATACTAAAAGTAAATATTTATATATCTAAAAATTAAAATAAATATAATTAATTTATTTATATGTAAATATAATTATATGTAATTAAATATATAAATAAATAGAAATATATATATATATAAATTTATTATATTTATATTTATTAATAACTTTTAATATATTTTTTTTATTATTTTTTTTTATATTGATTTATATTTATATTTATTTTTTAAATAATCATTTTTATATATCTATTTATTTATTTTATTTATATATTTTAATAACTTTTAATATATTTAAATTTTTTATTTTTTTATTTTATATTATATTGATTTATATTTATATATATTTTTTATAATGATTTTAATATATCTATTTATTATTTTTTATTTATTTTTATTTATAACTTTTAATATATTTAAATTTTTACTTCCGTTTCTTCTTAACAAATTTAATCTACTTTTTATAATATAGCTTATATAAATTCATCCGCTTTATTACATAAATCTTCTTTAGCTTATTTAGTTCTTATTTAGAAAAAACAGAAATTTTATTAATCAATACACAATTTTTCAATTTCTTCCTTTGCTTATACATATTCTTGTATTTTTTTATCTAATTCTTATGAATCAAGATTTAAAATCATAGATCCTTTTTAATTATCACCAAAAAGTTATTTTAATGTACTAGAGATAGATTTCTCTAATAAAAATTAATATTTTTTAAACTTTTCTAGTACTATATCTGGGCCTTCGTATCCTTTTTAAATTACATTCATAACAATTTCTTCCCCTTTTTTAATCCAATCTAAATCCATACTAATAGGAAAAGAGATTTACTATTAAAGTTTATCTATTAATGGTACTAAATCTTTTTCCAAAATAAAAAAACCATTAACATAATCTACAAGCCATTAAAATGGTTTTAAAAGACTCTAAGTGATTTTTTTTAAACTAGGTTAATAATAGATATAATCTTTTGAATCTTCCTCATAATCATCACCTATATCTATATTTAAGCCTGATATACCTCCGTTATTATATAAATTACTTTTATCAAATAAAGTAGTATTATTATTTAATATACTGGTATTATTTACTATAGATGCATTCGTATTTATTGCATTATTATTATTTTATTTAACTTATTCTTTTTTTTTATTTTTTTTATCATTTTTTTTTGAAGATTTTTATTTTGCTTGTAAATTTAAAATTATAAGATTATAATTATTTACTATCCAAATATCTTTATCCTACCCATCTTCTGGTAGTATAAATTTTTTTAAAAAATTACAATAATCATCAATATTTTTTTTTACAACATTTTATCTTACATAGGAATTTATCATTAAATCTATTCTTTTAATCAATCTTTATAATTCAGAATTAAAATAAAACTGATTTTCAATAATGTAAAATCTATAAATATCCCTTAAAGAATCATGTATTTCTGATATAATATACTCTCTCCATTACATTTATAATGTTTATCTTGCACTTACATGATATGCATATTGTGATTATTCAAAATTTCCCAACGATACTGGAAGTGTGAGCTTTTCCCAATTAGTTTTGAATAGTTTATGATTTTCATACATATCAGATCTTTTTGTGATTTCATTTAATGTTTTAACTACTAAATCTTTGTTTGATAAATGTAGCTTTTATAGTTAGTCCTATATTTCGTAATATGGGTATTATAATTATACATAAGTACCATATTATCGTATTATTTTTTCTTCAAAACGATTTTTTATTCGATATCTTTACCATTTTAATTCATTTTTAGAATCAGCCATTTCATTTAATACAATACATTTTTTACTAAAGAAATTGTATTATTTTTCAACATCCTATATAATATTTTTTGCATAGAATTTAAAAAAAAAAAAAATTATTTTACTTCCATTAAATCTTTTATGAATTAAGATTTATATATATCCAGTTATAATGCTTATTTTTTCTTTTTAGATAATATCTTGTTTAAAATATTATCTTTCCATTATTATTACATATATTGTATTTTAGAATCTTATTATCTATTTACATATTTATCAAACCTAAAATATAAAAAATAATAAATTTTTTATTTTTTATTACATAAATATAAATAATATAATATTATATATGATATAAATATACATGTATATATATATATAATATATATATATATATATATATTTAAATAATTCATATAAATTTATATATTTAAAGTTTATATAATTAACATATCATAATTTTTATTTTTATTTTATTACCTCAAAGCATCTTCAGCATTTAATTGTCTTTATTTTGATAATTCAAATCTTTCTTTAAATTAATACTCATCCTCTTAACTAAACATCAAAGATAGTCTCACAATATTTTTAATTTAGTTATTTTTTAAAATTTTAACTTAATATTTATTAGTCTTAATATCAAAATCAATTACTTATGCATCTGTCCATATATATCTTAATTTTTTTTATATACAAAAATTAATTTATTTTAATAAGTATAAAATTACTTTCCATCTTAAAAAATAGGACATTTAGCATGAGCTACATTAGGTTAAGATTTAAATTTTTCAATCCATTATTAGGGTGTTATTTCTTCTTCCCAACAGTCATATTTTTTTAGATTTTTATTAGTATTTAAACCTTTTTCAGGAAATTATTTTTCCTTTTCTTTTGCATTATCCATTAATGCTTTAATTAAATGTGGAGAATATATACTATTTTCATTTTTAATAAAACTTTCATTTATATGTGTATGCTCTTTTATTATTGAACTATTATTTAAAGGTTAACAAGACTAATTTTATAATAAACTTTAACTTATTACATGATCTGATTATCTTAATTTATAACTCTTTTGATATCTTTTTAATTATTAAGAATCTTAATTATTTAATATTGATTCTTCTTATGATTATAAAAGACTCTACGTTTAATCTATAGGAGGTAGTTTTAATTTATTTGCACCTATCATTTATTATGGTTAAGAAATGTTTAATTTTGGAGGATGTATTTCTTTTTTGCTAGAATGGTAGGCTTGTATAGTTTCATCTACCATTTTTTCCTCCATTTCTGCTTCTTCGAAATTAAATTTAGGTAAATGAATTTTAAACAAAGGACCTATTTTAATTTATATATTTGTATTATAATATGATATATATATATTTATATTTGAGTTATTATGCATTTTTATATTTTCCAAAATTACATGTTTATTATTATTTCTTTATTTTAATTATTTTCAAATAAAGATGTAATATTTATTTTAATTTTTTTATTTTTATTTTTGGGAAATTGCTAGTTTTAAATTATAGTTACCTATTTTATTCGTTGAATTCTTTTTGTTCATTTATTTATATCAACTATTTTTTTTTTATTTTTAATATATATTTTTAATGAAAAAAATAAAAAAATAAAAAATAAAAATTATTTTATTTAAAGCAGTTTTTTTTTTTTTTTTAACAAAAAATTAAAATAGAATTAATTTTTATATAAGAATAACATACAATTCTTTTATTTTAAAAACATATAACAATTAAAATTTGGCAGAATATAAAAAAATATAATATAATTTAAATAAATAATAAAATAAAATATAAATTATATTATTTATAATAATAATAAAAAAAAAACAACTCTAATAATAAAAATAATTTTAATAAATAACAAATATATATTTTTTTAAAAAAATAATAAATAAATGTATTAAAATAAATATGAATTTTTAAATAAACTATTAGATTAAGAAATAGAAATAGCGAAAAACCGTTCGTTCTCTTTAATAAATAATAATTCATATAATAGTCAATCAAACAAAGAAAATAATCTATTTTAAAATACAAAACAATAATTATACAATAGCCAAAGTATTCAAAACAATACAAATTATATTTTACAAAACAGTCTTTTTAATTAAAAGGAATAATTGTTATCTTTAAAAAGACAAAATAAATAAAATTATCCTTAGGTACATTTAGTAGAAAACTTATCAAAAAGTACAAACGAACCGAATAATTATATGTTATAATTTGAATAAATAAAAAATAAAATTCTAAGCCTAGAAAAATAAATGAAATAAAAATAATAATAAAATACTTCTCCTTATTTTTATGAAAATAATAAAAATAATAATTTAACTTTTTTAGAGAATGACTATAAAAATAATTAAATATCGATTAAAAAGTTTAAAAAAAATAGTTCAAAAAATATTTAATTTTCAAATAAAATTAGAAGCCATTCTTTAAAAAATAACAATAATAATACAAAATCAAATTAAAAAAACTCTAATAATAAAAATACTTATAACTTACAAATCTAAGAATTGTAAAAAGAAATGAAATACTGGTAATAAAAAAAAGTAAATAGCATAATAAATTGCTTAGTTTATAATAATAAAGCAATTTATAAGAAAATAAAATTAAATAAATAAAAAGCTAACTAAATAAGTTACTCTAAATGTAAAAAACATAATAGAAAACACACTTCAATTATGATGAAATATATTCGAGTTTATAAAAATGTGAACGTACAAAATAAAAGTAATAAATATTAATAAAATTATTAAAAGAATAAATAAAAAACACTAAAAAAAATATATGATATATAAAACTTTAAATTTATTAAAACATTTTTTTATATGACATATTTATTTATTACTAATTAAATATATAAAATTTATTTCTTTTTTTTTTGTTACTACATTCACATATAAAAATATTCTGGATTTATATTATTATCTTTTACATTAAGTAATGCAAAAGCACCAGTTTATGGTAAATTATAACCTTCTATCCACATTCTTATTAAGGCTGCTATATCATCAGGTTTAGCCCAAGTAGAAAAATCTGAATTAGGCATATCTTATCTATTTTAAGGAGTATCAATTATTTTTCTATTAGAAAAATAAATAAATAAAAAATAATAAAAAAAAAATTATTTACGGTAAAATAGTTATTACACGAGATTATACCGGCATATCTTTAGAAACAGCCTAAAATCGAAATTAAAAATATATTTCATTTATAAAAATATAAAAAGAAAAACCAATTTCGATGCTAATGTATGTACAGATGTTTTACTAAGTGCATATCCTATCATATCACTGCAAGGGTTATTTAAAATCCCCCCTGCCCCAGTTAATACTAATAATCCTGATTCTTTTAATATATTTGTAGCTAAATGAGCAGCTTTTTTTTAATAATAAATTATTTTTAAATATTAATATTTTTACCCATAATTGATGGCAATATGTTACAAATATGCATTTTATCATAAGTATCGAAAATTCTCTCATCTTTTATAGAACCACTTGTCCATCCCCCAGCTATACATATAATAGCATCATAGTTATTTTTCTAAAAAGTTTATAGTTATTATTTTATTAATGGTAATTGTTCTTTTGTTGATATATTTGGATTAATTAATATATTTAAAGAGCATTATTTATTCTATTTAATATCTATATTTGCAATTCTATAGTTATTTATTAAATTGGAAATTAAGCAACGACCTTTATTTTTAAAATAATGTTACTTTTTTAATAAAAAATCTTTAAAAAACCTAAATTTCCATTTCCACCAAAAATTAATATATTTTTTAAAGACATTAAATATTTATATATTAAAAAAATTTTAATTAAATATATATATATAGATTCTAATAAAAATAATTTTTAATTATTTTCTAATTATTATAAAAAATAATAAAAATAATAATATTTAATTGAAAAGAGGATATAAAAATAATAATTTTTAATTAATAAAACTTGATATATATTTTATATTTTTTTTTATTAAATAATTTTAAAATGTTTAATAATATATAAATATATATATATAATATATATATATATATATATATATATATTTATTATATTAATAAATATAATTATTATATTATATCAAAAAATATTTATAAAATAAATATTTATCAATTTTTGATTAAAATATTTTACATATAATAAATTACTAATGTATTTTTATTTATATAAAACAAAAAATTTTTTACTTTATAACTTTATATAAATTAAATTAATAATTCATTAAAATTAATAGTAAATTAAATACAATACCATAAAACATATATAAATACTTTATATAACTATAAAAAAAAATATTATCTCTAATTAATAAATAAAAAAAAAATTTTTAAAATAAATAATAAAAAAAAACTTAAAAATCTTAAAATATTATAAAAGTCAAATTCAAAAAAAAAAAAATGTTTACATCTGCATTTTCATTTAATTTAAATAATCCCGTAGAGGAAAATTTATCAACAATATTAAGATTAGATAGTCAAAAGCCATAACTTGCCTGTGTATCCATAGGCGGCAAATTATTTATATCAAACAACGAACAAGTCGAGTTTTTAAATTTAAACAAAAGTATAAAATCTTTAGCTACATCAAAATACGACCCAGACTCTAATTCCGAATAAATAATATTCGCATCCCAAAACACCCTCGTATGTTACGATGTACTAAAAAATAGTGAAAATTTTTACAAAGAAATTGAAGATGGAATAAATGTGATTGCCTTTACACCCGAAATGTCTGGAATAAAAGGTCCTGTAACCATTATAGGAGGCAACTGTAGTATATAAGGTTTTAATTCTTAAGGTGATGAAATATATTGGAACGTAACTAGTGATTTGGTTACCTGTATTGGATTCACAGATATTGACGGCGATTAATCCTTAGAATTAATGGTCGGAAGTGCGGATAACTATATAAGAATTTTCTAAGGAGAAAGCATTCTTTACGAAATCCAAGAAGCTAGTAAGCCTCTTATATTATCCAGAATGACTAAATAGAAGTTTGCTTTTGGATTAGAAAACGGAATGGTGGGCGTTTATTAGAAAAAATAAAGAAAATGGAGAGCTAAATCTCAATATAAACCCATTGGCGTTCTTTTAGGAGATTTTGGAAGCGAAAGATAAGGATATAAACCTATTATTATCGGAAGGTAGAATGGTTAAATTGAAATAAGACATGATGCTACTGGTGAAATTTTACATAAAGTCATGTTAAGTAGTCCTTTAGCAAAAATTTTTAGAGATGATTTTAGATAAGATGGGAGTAAGTAGATTGCTTGTATTTAATGTGATGGGTAGGTTTAAGGATATATTATTAATATTAAAAAAGAAAATTTTAATGAAAATGCAACGTAAATATTTATATTTCATTTTTTTTTATTTATTTATCTATTTTATTAAAGATCTGATTAAAAAATAGATTAACATGGTTATTTAGAAGAATTAAAAAAAAGAAACAAAATTTAGTTGAAAAAATTAATAATTTATAAAATTAAGTTGATATGAAAAAAACAGACGGAATTTCGCCTTAAGAATAATTAAATTTAAGTAAATATATATATATATATATATATATATATATATATATAATTTTTTTTTATAATAAATAATAGTAAATTCTTTCAAAATAAACCCAAAAACAAAAAACGTTGAATTATGTATAAAATGTAAAAATCTTTATATCAAAAACGCTATTTTATTTTGCGAAAAGTTATTTGTAGACTCCGAAACATTATTTTATTGTCCAAAGAATGTCAAAAACACTTTAAATATTCCACTTCCAATATAGAAAAACATTTCTGAAAAAATAACTGTTAAATGTATGCTAAGTAATACAATATCAAGCTAATATTATTAAGTATTTACTTTCACAAGCTAATTACCTAAATTTAGTAGATATTTATTTATTAATACATTCGAAGAAGCTAATTTATAAGCACCAATATCATAAGTCAATATGATAATAAATGAAAGAATTTCAAGATTTGTTAAATGGATTAGTTAAAGTTTTATTGTTAATTAAGAAATTATTGATAAATTGGAATAAAATTAGACTTAATTAGTTGCCAGGTTTGTTAATATTTAAAATAGGGAAACATTGCAAATTAGTATTGATTAAAATAATGCTCATGTTTAAATTTTTTCTGATGATATTGAAGTTGCAGGGGATGTAATATAAGATATGTGTTAATATAATAATATTACAGAGTTAGAAAGTTAAGGCTAATTTCCTTAAGAAATGGAAAAATTCAAATAAATTTTAGATTAAGTTAAATGTATAATAAATATAATGATTTTAATATATTTTTTATTTATATTTTTTTCTATTTTATAATACTTTTATTTTTATATTATAATAAAATAGAATATTCAGAGGCTAAAATGAATATTACAGCTGATATTGCTGATTCTATATAATAAGTCAAAACCTTTATTGTAAAAGCAGAAGATTCTAGAATTTGTGGAGATATGAAATTTATGAAAAAATATTATTCTGATGTAATGGTTTAAAATAATAATTTAATGACAGAACTTATTAAAAGGAAAAAAAATAATAACATTTTAATGTCATCTTTAAAAGAAATTAATTCCATGATAAATAAAGCATCTAATATACGCTTAGGAAATGCTAAAACTAGGGTTACTACTCTATGTAGAAATGCTATTAAAAATAAAGACTTTTTCTCTTTATTAAGAATTATAGAAGGTGGATAAGAGTATTGATTTTTTATTTTTAAATTATATTAAATTTTTATATATAAGCATATTTTTGTTATTTTTTTAAATAAATAATTAAATTGTTAATTTTGTTTGTAAAATTAGATTATTATTAAATATATTAAAATTTCTTTTATAAAATAATAAAATAACATTTTGTTAATAAATAATCTTTATAAAAATATTATATTATAAAATTTAGAAAAATTTTAATATTTATAAATATTCGATTATTTATTATACTTTACAATGTAAAAGCATAATTTAATTTATTATTGTTTATTTTTAAATATAATTAATGTTAAATGAATAAAAAAGCTATAATAATTTAAATATAAATTAGATTTTTAAAATATTCATAATTAAAAGTATTGTTTATTATGGAAATTAATATTTAAATATTTTATTACATTTTTGTTTTCAATAAATACTTAAACAGCTTTAATTTTTTAATTATAGTTAATATCTATAAAATTGAATTTATTATAATTAATGTTATTATTTAATTTTATAATTGATTATATAATTATTGATTAAACGTTAAATTTTATTTAAAGTTTTATTTAATATAATACAATTATTTATATCTTAATTTTTTGTTTTTTTATATATAAAGATTTATTAATAACATCATATTTTAAATAATATTTAATTCATATTAAGACTAATAGTTTAACTTTTTATTATCTTAAATAATAATTTCTAAATTTTATTATAAATATTATGCTTTAAATGTTAATTTTTATAAAATATTAATTTATATTTAAAATGCAAAAATTTAATTATTTATAAATATTTTGTATTTTTATAATTTCTTATTTATAACTTTAATTCATTTTAAAACTTTTTTTACAAAAATCTGATTTTTTATTATAAACCTTTAAAATCTATTTACATTATACTATTATTTTACTTTATTTAATAAGGCTAAAGTAAAGTAGTAAAAAATTAATATGTTTTTTAATAAACTTTAATACAAAAAATATAAACAAATTAGCAAATATAAAAATTTTAATCTATTTTTATTACGTAAAACTAATAAGAAAAATTATACATATATTAGTGTCCAAAATTTAAATTTAAAAAAAAACTCAATTAAATTACAAAAATTAAAAAAAATGAATTTTTAAAATTATTAAAACGATAATATAAATAGTAGTGCTTCTACAACTGTAAGTAATAGATCAGATTATTCAGGTGTATCATAATTTTCAACAAAAAGGAATACTATGGAATTTTAATATTCTTTACAATAAAAAATAAAAGAAGATAAAATCATGAAAAACAATAATATAAATATAAAGATTATATAAATATAATATTAATAACTATATTGGTAATTATGCTTGGTATAAACGTATCTTAATATAAATTTAATAGTGAGGTTAAATATACTTAAAATAATAAAAAGACAAACAATTCAACCCTTAAAATGTTTAATGCTAACATTTAAGGGTATTAATAAATTGCTGTAGGAAAATATTATTATTGGGATATATTAGGTAATAAAATATAAAAACATATTTATATTAATAAAATTAAATTGAAAAAATTAATATATATAAATTTATTATTTATTAAAAAGCTGAATAAATATATTAAAATATTGTTGATAAACTAAAGTAAATAATATGGATTGATGAAAAAGAAATTATAGATTATATTATGAATGAATTTGGAGAAGATCATTTATTAATATTAAAAGATAAACTATTAAAATTAAGAGATGAAAGCAATTAAATAGAAGAATTATAAGGATTAAATAATTAAAAGATTTGGAGATATAAAAACTGTATATGTGAATGAAAATTAAAAAATAAAAAAATATTAATATATACATACATATATATATATATATATATATATATATATATATATATATTTTATTAATATTTTTTTTAATCAATTATTTATATTTTTATTTTTTATCATTTTTTTATAAAAAAAAAATTAACATATTCATCTTTTATAAATTCATTTTATTTATTCATATTTTTTTCATAATTTTTTTTTTTTTTGCAAACATAAATTTAATTAATATTAAATTAAAAATTAAATTATTAATTTTTTTAAATGTTATTTTAAACTTATTTATTTTATAAATTTTATATTTATATATTTATTTTGATTTAATTAAATAATATAAAAACTAAAATTTATTAATACACATATATAAAATATATATTATTTTTAAAAATTAATTTTTTTTATTAATTATATAATTATATAATAAATAAAAATAAATAATTTTTTTAAAAAATATACCTTTATATTTATTATTTATATTTTATTCAATTAAAATCATATATTTATATTTATCAATATATTATTTCCATAAAATGAGAATTTTATTTAAATTCTTTGCTATTTTCGTAATAGGAATATCATTTATTACATCAATTTGTACAATATTAATTTCCGAAATACAAGATTTTATGTTTTTAAATATGAAGTTAGTACATTATAAAGATTTTTACAATTAAAATTCTCAATATAGTGATTTTAAATAAAATAAATCACCTAATTTATATTATAGCTTTATTTAATTTTATAAATAATTTATATTAAAATGATTAAATGAAAATAATTCATAAGTAAATATTTAATTAAACATACAATGAGCAAATATCTAAATATAAAGCAAGTATAGGAAATATAACAAAATCATATTTTTTATAAAGTTAAAATTAATAAAATATCAGAATACTTTCATTTTATAATACTATAGAAGATTCAAGTTAATTATATATAAATAATATAAAAAACATAATATACAAAAAAAAATTAGAATTTAATATTTTTGATATTTTCAAAGATGAGATAATTTCATATATTGATCTAAATTTTTAATTTAAAATAAATTCAATCAATATTAATAATAAAGATTTTATATTATTTTCTTCTAAAAATATAAGTGATATATAAAACTTTAAGAAAAATATAGGAATAATTAATATTGATACTAAATAAGTAGAATTAATTAATATTGATAAAAATTAAGATCCTAAAATTTTCTGTATATAAAATAATTTATTAATTTATGCAAATTAATACGATTATGTACTATTTAGATCCAAAATAAGGTCTTATAATAAATATAAATGATTCTATATATATATATATATATATATATATATATATATATATATATATATATATAAATTATATAAACTTAAAAAGGATAAATGATTAATGGTAAACTATAAACTCAAATTAAATGATTAAAAATGAGTAAAGAATGTTTACTTAAACTCTATCGATAATATTTCTTGAATAATAATATGATATTTAATGTGAAAAACCTATATTAATTACTTATGTAATGTAAAATTTTTATTTTAAATTAATAATAATAAAGTTTTTATTATTTTGCTTAAAAAAAAAGAGGATAATATAATGAAATAGTATTTAAATCTGATATATTATGTCTTATTTAAGTTTAAGAAGATGAAAAAGATTAATATTAATGGGATTATGTTTAAAATATAATGTATAAACCTATTTATTAAGATGTGAAAGAATTTGATATATTCCACTTTGATTTTTATAATAAATTTTAAATATATTGTGACGAAAAAAATAAATTAATAATATTTTCTTTACTAAATAAATTTATATTGATAATTCAATTAAAGTTTAAATAAAAATCAAAAACGAAAAAAAAATATAATTTATAAAAAAAAAAGTTAGAATTTGAATAATTTAAATAGCTTTTATTATAAAATTTAAAGTTTTAGCAAAATGAACATTTAGATTAGAAAAATATTATATTGTAAAAATATTGATTTAATAATTTTATTAACTTAAGATAATTAAAATAATGATAAAATATATATTATTGATTATAAAAGAATGAAACATTAAATGGAAGCAAGTTAATTTTTTTTTTAAATATATATAAATTATTTGATATTATTTTTAGATGTTTAGTTAATTTAATTAGATTAAAAATTTAATTAATATATTATAAAAGATATTTAAATTATAAATAATTAATAATCAAATAATTATGAATAAGAATATATAAATATTCTTATTTATAATGGTGATTAACTTATATTTAAATTATTTAAAAGCAATATTCAAACAAGCAAATAAACATTATACTAAGAAATTGTATTTTATATGCTTTGTCTGATTATTTATTTAATTTATAAATACAGTAGAAATGTTTTTAATAATTAATTAATAATATAAGGTTAATAAAGAATTTAATAAGAATTTGCTTAAAACTTTTGAAGAAAATAACAAATTATATTTTTCTCTATAAAATTAAAAAATATATTTTAATAAATTATTGTTTTTTTTTTTTTGTATATTTTTTTTTAATTATATATTTTATTTTTATTAAATTTAATATAATGTATATATTAAGAAAAAAAAAGTTATCAAAACATTATTTTATTTTTGCGTTTTTAATTTGTTTGTTATTTTGTTTCGTTTTAGAATAGAGATATTAATCGAAAAAACAAATAAATCATTATATATAATAATTAGAAATATATATAAGAAAGAAAAAAAATATTTCAAAAACGTTTTTATCACTCTATTCCCTATTTATTTAAAAAACAAAAAAACAAAAATTACTTAAAATAAAAAAATCAAAAATCAAAATTTAAAAAAAATGAAATAATAATCCATAGCATTTTGTTTACTTCTATTAGTTATCGGTTCTTAAACCGTCTTAATGAGTGAAAAATAAACTACATTTAAGAAAATGAGATCCATAATTACCATTATGTCTTAAGTATAGACCAAATTAACTACTAACGGACCTATTAACGACATAGCTGATCTCTTATTTAACTATTTCTAAGAAATTATATAAGAATAAATAAATCACGATACTCTTTTCGAAAGATAAAAAAAAGAATGTGATGAAGAAGCTGAATATCGTGCTAAAGAAGTAAAAGATGGATAATAAGCTCATGATTCTGCTTAAGTAACTTTAGAACACTGCAATAGTTAAAATAATAGAGCCGAAAGAGATTTATCTAACAACTTAGATGAATAATAGAAGACTAGAGTTTATTTACAAAACCTTATTTTAACTAGAGAATAATAGGCTGCTAAATTCTAAGAAGATACTCAATCTTATAAAGCTAATTCAGCTGCTGTTGATGAAGCTATTTCTATTTTGTAAGAGATATGGTCTGGATAATCTGAATTTATCTAACTTTCTAGACATGTTAACAAAATGTTAAAACACGCCATTTCAATGAGAAAAGTTAACAAAATTGCTCCCTTAATGGCTGCTTTTGCATAACTTTCAGCTAAATAACTAATAGCTGATGAAGCTTAATTATAATAAGTACTTAGATTATTAAACTAATTCAGATAGGATGTGGAAAATGATTATAGAGCTAAAGAAAAGGCTGAATAAGAAGCTTAAGATGCCTTTGCTGAATCCAAAGCTGCTACTGAAGATTATCTTGGTCATTTAGAATAGGCTTAGAAAGAATTAGAAGAAGAATTAAAAGAATTAAAATCTTGTATTAACAATTAAACTGCTATTTCTTAATCAGCAGCTGCTAAAATTAGAAGAAATTAAGATTTATTAGATTCAACTTCTAATATGTGTGTAGCTTTTGCAAATGAATATGTATCTGCTGCTTAGGGAAGAATAGAAGAAGTTGAATTATTACAAGTTATTCTTGAAAAAGTTAAACTTAGATATGAATAATTATCTGATAATGTGATCATTAGAGGATTATAATCTAAATTCGATGAATATACTAACAAATCACCTTATGAAAGAGTTGATTCTTTCGTACATTAATAAGGTGAATTCAATGAAAAAGGAGCTGCTGAAGCTCGTTATGTTAGAAATAAAGATTTAGAACAATTATGATTAAATTGATGTATTAGAAAATTATATAAATATATATATATAAAAAAATATTATATAAAGAATATTATAAATAAATTTTTTATATAAAGAATATTTTTTTTTTTATTAATAATATATCTTTTTTATTAATAATTAAAATGTATATTAATATTTATATATGTGTAAAAAAAAATATATATATATTTATATTTATATATATATATATTATATAATTATATCTATTTTTATATATATATATTTCTATTTTAGTCTGTCTTAAAGCATTTATAGATCCTTTTACATTCTGATTTTTTTTATCATCTTTAAATTATTAACTTTATTGGTTTAGTGAACTTTTTTTTTTAATTTTTATTTATTCGAATAAAGTCTGTAATTTGTTTTTAGTCTTGTTATAAATTTAGTCTTATTTTGAATTTTCTTTATTTTTTACTTAATTATTATTTTTTTTTAAGGGAGCTGTTAAAATCCTTTCTATAGCTATTAGATTTGTAGTTAGATTCCTCTATAATTTTTTAAAACTATTAGAATGAAATATTTCTTTCTTTTTTATCCTAAGAATTATGTATTGCTTATTATTTAATTAGATTAGAAGAAGTCTCGAATCCGTTTTTTTGTTGTTGTCTATTTTTATTTGGATTTTTTTTTTTATATGATTAGTATTTAATTATGTTACTCTTGTATAGCTGTTTGCGAAAGCAATGGATCTATATTAAGAGTATTCTATTTTTACATAATAAACGAAATAAAAGTGAATCTTTTTTAGTCATATAAGATTTTACATATATAAAAAATTTATTAATAATAATAAGGTAGAGTAAGTTTTATTACAAATCTAAACAGAAATTAGCTTATAAGATTTATTAGATTCAAGTATGCGAAATCGAATAGTCATTATTTGTAATTTATTAGAATAATGTCAGTATAAAAAAAAATTCTTTATTTATTAAATTTAATTATAAATATAATGTTTTTTTTTTTTTTTAAATATATATATATATATATATATATATATTTTAAATATATTTTTTATATATATTTATTTATATATTTTTTTTTATATATATGTTTTCATTCAATATTTTTATTTATTTTATCATTTTATTTTTAACATCTCTTGCCTTATTATAACAAATAAAAACATTATTATTTCAAAAAAATATAAAAAATAAAAATATATATATAAAAAAATAATTTAAATAAATTATTAGTTTTACATTATAATAATTTAAACATATTAACGTAAACTTTAGTACATTAAAAAATTTTAAACAATTAAAATTTTTTAACAAACAAATCAAAAACATTATCTCCTAACCCGTTTCAAAAAAATTAGATAATTTATTAATAAAGGCATATCTAAAATAGTATATTATCAAATTAAAACATTTAAAAACATGATTGTATTATTTAAAATAACAAAAAAACACAATATACAAATTTTAATAGTATACCTTCTCCAAATTAAAATATATTATATTAAAATTAAGTAATAAGCAACAATAACATTTAATATAAAATATAAAATAATAAAACTATTTAAAATAAAATTAATAATAATATTTAAAATAATTAATAAGAATAATAAGATTTTGAAAAAAATTTAATATGACTTATAAAATAAATAATATAAATAAATAAAACTTATCTAAATAAGCATAATAATTATATGAATTAATAGATAAATATAATAATGAAAAAAAAAAATTAAAATAATAAGCAAATATAAATACAATTATAATAATAATAATAATAATAATAATAATAATAATAATAATAATAATAAACATTACTTTAATAATTTCAATTAAATAATTAAGTAGCATAATAAAATAATTAATAATATAATCCATCTTTAAAAGAAAATAAATATAATTTAATATAACAACAAATATAATATTAAAACTAATAATAATATAATTTATAATTATAATAATAAAACAATTAAAATTCTATTCATTAATCAAATATAGTTATTTAAAAGGATATTAATACAATTAAAATAAAAGATTTATAAAATTAAATTTCTATAAATGATTTTATTGAAAATTAATAAAAATTGTACTAAGAATAATAAAATAAAATAGATTTATTATAATAGTAATTATTTTAAAATAAAATTTTATTTAAAACAGAAATTTAAAAAGCAGTTTCGTTTACAAATAAAATAAAAGAAGAATAAGAAAAAAAAATTAAATAATTAAGTAAATAATTATAATAATTCCAATTTAAATAAGAATAATAATAATTATTAGAAACAAAATAGAATAAATAATAAATACTTATTTAAGAATAGGAAGAATATATAAATGAAATAATAAAATAAAAACAATAAATAGAATAAAATGTCGAAACAATTCCAACATATGAATATAATTAAGTTAAAAATAGTATTTAAAATGAAAATTCTAATTAACAACAAGAGTATTTTATTTTATATATTTATATTTAATTTTTATTTTATTTTATTTTTATAAAAATAAATTAGATATATAAACGAAATTAAAGATATCTAATAAAATAATTATTAATTAAAGTAAATATAAATAAAAAAAATATAAATATAATGAAAAATTTAAATATATATATAATTTAATATATATATATATATTTTTTATATATTTTATATATTTTATATATTTTTATATATTTTATTTATTTTTTTATATATAAATATTTATATATAGATAATATTTTTTATCTTTAATTTTTATTTTTAAAAATATTATAAATTATAATTTTATTTATTTTTAAATAAAAAGTAAAGGCATTTTAACTTTAAATTAAAATAAAATAAATTAATAATCATCAAGTTTTTCATAAAATAATTCTTTTGATTAAAAACCTTTAACGCCTTAATATAAATTTTGTGATAGATAATAAGAATGGAAATATAGAGTTGAAGAAGCATCACTATATAAAAAATATTCTACTGATAATTAATAAAGATAAGTAAAAATAATTACTATATTTTTAATTTTAATATTATACAAATAAAAACATAGAAATATAATTCATATAATAATGATAAATAAAAAACTGAAAGGAAAAAATATAATAGTTTAAAATTAAATGTAGATAATTATAAAACATGTAATATAGATAATTCTAAAACTGGTTCTTATTCTTAAATATATGAAAAGAAATTCTCTGGAAACATTTCGAAAAATTCTTGTTCTAATCCATTTATTATTTATAATAATTAAAATGAAAATATAAAAGAATTAATATAAAATAAGTAAATTTAAAACATGGTATTAAAGAATAAATTTTAAAATAAAAAACCATTGAAATAATAAATTACTAAAAAATAAAAAAATGATTTTAATGTAAAATATAAAAATTAAATAAATAAATTATTTATATATATATATATATATATATATATAAAAAAACAAGAATTAACTTAAATATTAAATAAAAGTCGAATAAATTAAAAAGTAAATTTTTTAAAATTTAAACTAAAGCTAAATAAAAGACTTTGAAAATAAAAATTTTAAATAATATTTAGATGATAAATAGTAAATAAGTTTTTTTAAAAAAAAATGAATTAAAAAATGATATATTAATATGATTTATTATTAATTTTAACAAAAAAAAAAAATATATAATAAAATTTATATATTCTAAAAAAAAAAAAACACAAATAAATGTCTAAAAAAATAATATTTTTCTTTTAATATATAAATTTTAAAATTAATGACAAAAATAATTAGAAAAATTCTAAATAAATTCAATGTTTATTATTTTATTATTATAATAGTCTAATAGCCTAAATATTATTTTAATAATATCTGCAAATCTCTTTATAATAAGCAATATTACTATTAATAATTGAACATAATTTATCATCAGTAAGTTCACTTATATCAATAGAATATTTATCCATAAATTTATAAATAGAATCTTAATCATATTAAATAAACAAAGGAGTAGTCAAAATAACGTTTATAGTAGTAAATAATTTATTAAATTCTAAACTATCGGCTGCCTATTGTATTTCGCATAATTTTTAAGCCGTTTTTTATATACTTGTTTCATCAATATATGGCTCTAGTAATATATAAGATTTTTATGAAATATTTTATTATATAATAGAAGATATTTAAGGAAATATATAAGACATCGATTCTGAATCATAATTATGAGTTTCGCAAAATTACTTTATAAATAAAAGAGTTTCTGTTGATATTTCATTAGCAAAAATCATTTATTATTATTAAGGAGCATATTTTACAACTATTGAAAGGTCTTTAAATTTAGGACTAAATTCTATTATTTATTTTTCTTTTGAATAAATTTATATATTATCTTATATATCCATTGATTATATATTAATGTTATTACTAATTATAAATTTATAAAAATAATTACTTTTATATATTATTAATTATTTTATGAAATTATATGTAATTAAAATAAATATATATATATAAAATAATTAATGTTTCTATTATTTTTATTTTATAATTGAATGATACAAACATTTTTTTTTCTTATAATAATATATAAATTAATAAATACATATTCTTCACTTTTATTTTTTCGAAAAAAATTATGTTGGTAATCCCATTTATTTCATTAATAATTATTCTTCATCTTCATCTTCTTCTTCTTCTTCTTATGATTTTTACTCTGTATTTTTCTATTGATCTGCCTTAATATCTTCTTATAGATATTATTTATCTTTATTTTATAAATTTAGTTATTATTCTTAATTATTTTATTCATTTCTATCATTTTTATCTTCATTGTTTTTTTTTAATTTTTTCTTTTATTTTTTAAGTTCCTCTTCTTTTTAAATTTCATCTAATTCATCAATTTATATCATATCTTTATTTTTTAAACTTTGCAATTTTTATTAAACACAACTAACATCTACTTTCATAACTTTGTTATTCATTCCAATTAATCTTAAATGTTTTTTTCCATTTATATGATCAAGCCAAGCATTAGAATCCCAAACATGCTAAAAAAATATAAAATATTATTAACATTTAAAAAATGATAATTACTGTATCACATAATTAACAATAAAATCCACCATGTTCTTATTTTTAAGATTCTTTAGTTACAGTAACTCTTTTTCCTATATTTTTATCAAGTTTTAAATCTTCTGTACGCTTTTATAAAAACATGGTTTCTTATACTGTTTTAGCTTTTTTTCCATTGTTTGATTCTTTATCTTCAGGTTTTTATTTTAAAATTTTTTTAACTATATATTTCTTTCTTCCGAATTTCTAATCAAATACCTCTTCAATTACATTATCAAATATATCGTCTGGATTTGGAATAGGGTCTTTAAATATATCTTACATGTTACTTTATGATAAATATATAATTTTTATATTTATAATAATAAAAAAATATTATTATATTTTACAATATGTATATATATATAAATATATAAATATATAAATATTATATTAACTTATTAAATAATATTAAATGTTTATTTGAATATGAAGATGAAGTATGATTACTTATTAAATAAATCAAAAAAACAAAAATTAATTCGTCTAAAATTAATACTAATAATTTCTTTAAGAATTAAAATATTAAAAAAATTATAAAATAAATATAGATTTAAATAATTATATACAATTAATCAAATCATATAAATAATTTAACATTAAACTATATAATTAAATAGTTTATTTCAAATATTAGTAATTTTAATATTATATCAATAATTTTTTTTTTAAATATAAATAATATAAACAATATTTTTTATAAATACCCAATATTTAAACATTATTATATATTAGAATTCAATAATTATAAAAAAACACAATTACTTAAATAACACATAATATTTTAAATATTTATTTGTAAAAGCATTTGTTTTGGAAAGAAAAATTTATTTAATTTAAATTAACTTATAATTATATTACATAAATTTAAGAATTAATATGAGTGAAAGTTAAATAATAATTATTTTTATCTTTGTTTTTAATAGTATAATTAATAATTTTCGAAAATCTTTTATTTTGGTAAATGATATTATTTTAAAATTTAATAATAAATAGGTTTTTGTAAGAAATGTTGAGAAAACATAAATGATTATCTATAAGATTATTATAAAGTTAAAAAATTGTATTTTGAATATTTGAATAAATTTATTTGATTATATTTGATTTTAAAATTAATCAAAATGTATAAACGTATTAAATATGATAGTGTACTTTGGGCACTTATTGGAGCTGAAAAAGTTTAAACTTAATTAATAAAAATGGAATGAAAAATAAGGTTTGAAATTATTTTATTTAACTATAATTTAGAATTTTATAATTACTAATTTATTTAGAATTAAATTAAACATCTTTATATATTTTTTTATTATAAAAAAATAGCATAAATTTATTTATTATATAATTAAATGACCTAAAACTAAATAAAATAAAAATACATAAAATAGTTTATTAATATATAATTAATAACTTATAATATATTTTTATAAATATATACTAATCGATAATTTCGTTTTTATATTTTGAATTTTTTTTTTATCCTCACTTAAATAGTTTTTATTTAATAATAATTTATTTAGAAGCTTTGAAATTAAATAATAGTATAATAGAGATAAAAAAATTATTAATTTAATAATTAAGTAAAAAAAAAAAAAAAAAAAAATGGAAAAAGAAGAATAATAATAATCAAATGAATAACCTGATTTTTAAAATTAGAATGAAAATAATGATTAGGACTAAAATAATAATCATATATAAGAAAATAATTTCGAAGTAAAAAACTATTAAGGAGACAATCAATAATAAAAAAATGTTGATGAAACAGATAATGGAACTTAGAATAATGAAGTAAAAAATCAAAATGAATAAGAAATGAAAGAATATGAATAAATTTAGCAAAATTAACAAGATAATCAAAATTAGCAATAATAAAATGAAATTAATAATCTAAATATTAATAATTAAGAATAGGAAAATATTTATTAAGAAAAAAATGAGAATAAAAGCAATTAATTATAGATATAATAATAAGTTAAATAACATGTTTAATAATAAGATTAACAATAAATTTAATAGTAAGATCAATAATAAAACCATTAATAATATCAAGTGAATAATCAGAATAATCAAAATATTGAATAAGAAGATAATTAATAAAAAACAAATAAAGATTAAGAAGAAAATAAATAAAAAGGTTAAGAACAAAAAATAATTGAAAACAATAATGAGAATTAGGAAAACAATGAGCTAAATAAAGCTGATAATAAGTAAGAATATAAATAGAATAATAAAGATGAAAATAATGAGGAAGATTAATAGAAAAATAAATAAGAAAAAATAGAAGAGAATATATTAAAATATTAAGGAGAAAATTAAAATGAAATCTTAAATTCAAATAAATAAGTTAATAAAGAGAATAATATACAGGAAAATAAAGCAGAATATTAAGGAGAAAAATAATAGGAAAAAAATTAAGAAAATACTGAGAAACATGAAGAGAAAAACAAAACTGAAATTAATGAAGTAAACGAAAATGAAAATAATTAAGAAAATAAATAGGAAAATAAAGAGTAAAATAAATAAGAAAGCTAAATTGAAAATTAATAAAAAGATTTAAATAAATAAGAAAATTAAACAGAAAATAAAGAAGAGAGCAAATAGTTAAATATAATGAAAAATAAATAAGAAAAATAAATAGGAAACTCAAGAAGGAGGCTAAGATTAAAAATAATAGGAAAGCCATGAGGAAGATAAATAGGAAAATAAAAAAGAATATTAAGAAGAAAATAAGTAAGAAAGTTAAGTAGAAAATATTAATGAAAATTATAAATGAAAAGAGATAGGAAAGTAAATAAGAGAATAAAGAAGAAAATAAAGAAGAAAATAAATAAGAAAATTAAGAAGAAAACAAAGAAGAATACAAAGAAGAATACAAAGAAGAATACAAAGAAGTACATAAGGAAGAAAATAAAGATGAAAATAAAGATGAAATTAAACAAGAAAATAAACAAGAAAATAATGACGAAATTAAAGAGGAAAATAAATAAGAACATAAAGTAGAAAATAAAGAAAAAGGTTAAGAAGAAAATAAAGAAGAAAGTTAAGAAGATAAATTATAGGATAATAAAGAATAAAATAAATAAGATTATTAAGGAGAAAATCAACAAGAAAACAAAAATGAAAATAATTAAGAAAATAAATAGGAAAATAAAGAAGAAAATAAAGAAATACCAAAAGGCGAAAATAAAGATGAAAATAAAATAGAAAATTAAGAAGAAAATAAACAAGAATCTTAAGGAGAAAATATAAATGAAAACAATAATAAATAAAAATAAGGAAATAAATAAGAAGACTAAAGCGAAAACAAAGTATAAAAAAATGAAGAGAATTAGCCAAATTAATAATAAGAACAATTAAATAATAATTAAGTAGATAATAATAAACAAACTGAAGTAAATAATTAAGAAAATAACTAAATTAATAATTAAGAATAATAAAATATTAAATAGGCTAATAATGAACAATAAAAGTAATAAGCAGGTTATTAAGAATAATAGACTTAATAATAACTAGATGAAAACAATTAACTTAAATAATAATAAGAAGAATTAAATGAAAACAAAGAAAAATAACAAGAATCGTAAAACTAATAATAAGTTTAAAAATAAAGAATGAACGGAGAAAAGAATATTAGTAAATTGATGAAAATCAGAAATTAAATTAGAATAATAATTAATAAAAATAATAGCAAGAAATGCAATAATATTAGTATTAATAATAAAACTAATAAGAAAATTAATTAAAAAATTGCGATTAAGATAAATAATAATAAATTTAGTAAGATGAAAAATAACAAGAAAAATAGTAAGAAAAAAAAGTAGAAAAATAAGGAAAAAAAAAGAGAAGAAAAGAAGAAAAAAACAAAGAAAAGCAAGAAGAAAAAAAGGAGGAAATACAAGATAGTAATTAAAAATAAAAAAAATATTAATTTAATTGAAAATAAAAATATATTAAAAGATAATGAAAAAATAAATAAAATTAAAATAGTAAATGAAAATGAAAATGAAAACAAAAATGAAAATGAAAATAAAAAAGTAGATGAAAATAAAAAAGTAGATGAAAATAAAAAAAAAGGAAAAGAATATGAATAAGAAAAAATATAAGCATAATAATTTGAAAAGTTATAAGAAAATTAAATTGATACATAATTAGATTAAAAATAAAAAGATCAAAATTAAATAAAAGAAAAAAATAAAGATATAATTAAAAATGAAAAAAAAGAAGAAGAATTGTAGTAAAATAATAATAAATTATAAATAATAGATTAAAAAAATTAAAATAATGAATAAGGTAATAATATATAAATATAATAATAATAATAATAATAATAATAATAATAATAATAAAAATAATAATAATAATAAATACTATTTTAATCTAAAGATAATGAAAATTTTTAATAATTATAATAAGAATAAGTAAATAATAATTAAATAATATAAAATAATTTTTAATAATCATAACTAAATGTTATATAAAATTAAAATGTATTATAAGTATAAGAGTAAAATGAATAATAAGTAATACATTTAGAATTAAATCAATAAAAACAATAGAAACAGATACAATAATAATTAACATAAAAAGAATAAAATATATAAGAAAAAACTTAAGAATAAATATAGAAAATAAAATATTAAGAGTTTTAAGAAAAATAAGATGAAAAGAATGAAGAAAAAAAATAGGAAAAATAATACATTTATCTTTAAGAAAAAGTAGATCAAAAATTAGGCTAATAATAGACAGTAAATTAAAATGAAAAATAAAAATAATAACAATAAGAGTAATAATAAAATTAAAACTAGAATAATAATTAATAAGAAATATAATTATAATAGAATATATTTTAAAATTAGTATTAATAATAAACTTAAAATAAATAATAAAAATAATTGGTATAAGGCGGCGAACAATATAATTAAGATACATAAAATGAAGATATTGAAACTAAAAAAGATTTGTCTCCAAGGAGTTTTTAAAAATCGAAAGAATATTAAGACCAATTAAATTAAATTTTAGGAAAAAGTATTGATGATGATTAAGAAGCTAAAACATGTAAATTAATAATAGAAATAAAAAGTAGAGATTAATAAATTTAAGAATTAACCAAGCAATTAAATTCATAAGAATATTTATAAAGTAAAGTATAATTAGGAGAGGTGGAAAAAAGATTAAGTAATGAAAAGGATAGACTTTAATAGGAAGCTAATTAACTTAAATAATAAATGGATAAAGTTATTTTTGATTTAGAAAATTCTTAAATGGATACTTAAGATTTAAATTAAAAACTTAATAAACTTTACGGTTATGATGAAAAGTATAAAGAAGCACTTATGACAAACTTGAAATTAAGGATTACTTAAAAACTTTATAGTGCTGCAAATTAAAAAAACAAGTTAATTCTTAAAAATAAAATTGAAGAATTAGAAAAAACAATTAAATATGATTAAGATTAAGAGAAAAAAAATTTAATGAAAAATTTAGCGAGTTAGAATAATAGATTTAATAATAATTGAAATAAATTAAATAGTTAAATGATTAAAATGAGAATTTGAGTAAATTAAGTAATTCATATTAATAATAATTATAAAAATAATAAAATGATTCATTATAAAATTAAAATTAACTAAACTAGAAAATATATTAATTAGAATTATAAATTAAATTATTAACATAATAAAAAGAATAGTTAAATGTTAATAAAGAGTTAGAAAACAAAAATATATGGAGTAATTAATATTTAGAAAATTAAATATAATATTTAACTGAATAATATAATTTACAATTTTAATAATTAGAAAATGAAAAATTATAAGTTAGTAAATTAGATTAAAAGATTAATGATTTAGTCAACGAAAATAAATTAAAATAAGATGAAATTTAAAAAAAAGATGAGAAAATATAATCTTTGGAAACATAAATAAAAATATTAGATTAAAATTTAAAAAGTACTTAAATATTATAGTAAGAAAACTAATAACTGAAACAAAGTGTAGAAATTATAAGTTAATTAAATGAAGATAAAATAAAGCAAATGGGCAAATAACTGATTAAATATAAAAACTAATTTCCTAATTAACTAATTATGATTAAGAAAAACAGCAAGAAAACGTAAATTTGAAAATAGCTTTAAGCTTAAAAGAATAAATATTTTTATTAAACTAACAAAATTAAAATGAAAAAAACTAATTAGAAGAAAAAATAACAAATTTAGAAAAAGAAAAATAAGAATAAATTTAATAATTAAAAATTCTATAAAATGAACTATAAGAAAAATTAACTTAATTATAATAAGAAAATTAAAAAATAATTAAAATATAGAATAATTAAAATAATAAATGTAAGATTTGAATAATGAAAATGAATAAATTAAAATTTATAAATATTAATATGATGAGTAAATAAAAAAGATATAGGAATAAAAAGATATATAAACGAATAAATAAATATATAATAATAATGAATATTAAGATAAACTAGAAGAATATGCCAATATAATAAACTTTTTAAAAAAAATAACGATGAATATGAAATAAAAATAAAAAACTTACAAAAATAAATCGAATTATAGGAAAAAGCAAATAATGAGTAAAAAAATACGCATTAATAATATGAAAATAATTAAATAAAACAATTTAATAAATTATAAAGTCAAAGATTATAGGAAAATCAATAAAAGGAAAAACTAATGGAATAATATAAATTAAGCTAAAAAACTATATCCTAATTATAAGAACAGAATAAAATTTAAAATTAAAATTATGATGCTTTGAATTAAAAAATTAAAATTTTTGAACATGAAATTTAATTACTTTAAAATAATTCCAACCAAAATGAAACTTATCCTTAAAGGAATTTAAACTAAAATAAAAAATTAAGAATCAAACATAAAATTTGATACATTAGTTAATCAAAGAGGAAGTTTCGAGCCTAAAAAAAGCCATATAAATACTATATGATAATAAATTAAATATAAAAACTAATGATGAATAAGATTAAATATCTTTAGCTAGATTAATAGAAAATGAATTGAATTCTTATGTAAATTTGGACTTTTAATTTTTGTAAAATTAAGTTGAGAATCCTTTCAATATTACTTATGATTAATAAAATAATAAAATTATTATTTAGAAAGATTGTTCTTAAGGCAATAGTATTGCATTTACTTAATAAAATATTGTAAATGAGAGGTTTTATATTATAAGATTTGATTTGTATGCTGATAGTACTTTTTGTAGAATAGGATTAATTCCAGAAGATAAAGTAAAAGACTAAAATAATATTTAAATTAATGAAGATATTATTTGCTAAAATTTTTGTTTAACTAATACTATGCTTTAGGATTAAGAAAGGGGATTTATTTAGGTCGGAGATTTAAATTTAAGTGCTTTTAAATAGGGAGAATTTATTTTAAGATTTAATGTTTCGAAGGGTATTTTTTAAATTTTGGATAATAGTTGTAATTTGAATAGTTTTAAGTGTAATTTTGAAAATTAAAAGTACAAACTTTTTGTTTAGTTGAAAAATAGTAAGGGAAGATTCGAAATTATTAATGCTAAAAGAGATAATTAAGAATTTAATTAGATTTAATTTGAAGATTTTTAAGATATTAATAATTTATTGGATTTATATTTTAATTGATATCTTTTTTATTAAAATATATTTAATTATTATAAGAACTAAATTTATATAATAAATAATTATTTTTATATTTATATTTTATTTATATATATTAATTTTTTGAAATTTAATATTTTATTTTATTTTTTATTTTTATTTTTAATTAATATTTTATTTTTTAAATATTATAATTAATAAATGAAAAAATCTTTTTAATTTAAAATTTTTTTAAAAAATAAAATTCTTACTTTTAAATTTAAAAAAAAAGTTTTTTAAGTCATATATATGAAAATAATAATAATTGCTTCATTTTTTAACATTTTATTATTAATTTGAAATAAATTTTTTGTATTTCATTAATTTTATTTTATTTATAAATTATGTAAAAATTATTTATTATTAATATTAAATATTTCTTTTTTCTTTGTATTTTTATTTTTATTTTTATTTTATTTATATATATAGTTTTTAATATTATTTAAAATTAAAATAAATATATTTTTGGAAAAAAATAAAAAAAGAAAAAAAATATTTATTGAATATTAATAATTATAATTATTTTAAAAAGATTTAATATTATATTTTATTTAATTATTTTTAAATATTTTTATGATATTTTAATTAACTTTATCTATAAGCAATAAATTAAATACAATTAATTTAATTTTTATTAAATAAAATATTAATATATATATTAATGTTTTATTATTCTCTGAGCGTTTAATAATTATTATACTCTATTAAAATTTATAAATAATTTTATTTT